AAATTCACTCAGGACAGCTAGATTTTTACACAAACAGAAACAAATTTTCCACGCTAGCATCTTAACAGAAAAATTAACTACATACCATTGTACGATTTTCCAAACTAATAATCAAATATGCATGATATTCATCTTCATCAGCTGCCACTTTTGAGGAATCACTTCGTACATTCTTGTGGTAGACAGTCCAAATCCCTTTGCAACCAGGTAGCGACTCCTTCAAAGATACAGCAAGCAATATCAAATATGATCACACAAAACAGGAAACCTTCTAAAGACTTCTGACAAAATTACAGATAATTAGTTATAAACACATATTGCAGGATAAAGTACACTTTGCCACTCTTCAAGCAGCATTTGCTTGGACAAAAGATGATAAATCACAGTATTTGCTATGCAAAAAGTTTCAGGAAATTATTACCTATTTTAGGCTGGATAAGAAAAAACCTTACACCCCGAGATTTCATACTACTTTTTGACATTCCAAACAACTATCCTTTCAAGGCATTTAAAAACTTGAACTCAACAGAATAATTCATTACCATTATTTCAACAGAACCAACCATTGGTTTTCCAATAAGCGACGAAATGTTCTAATTAAATGTTCTTTTTTCCTACACCAAAATTTTCATTTGATTTCTTTTTCTGCTAATCTGAAATACAAACCATGCTTTGCTGCAAATTTACTCACACAGCTACCCACAGGCAAATATTTTCATTTTTTCAGTTCAACCAATTGAAAACTGAAGTGTAAACCCGAAACCTATGTACACATCAGAGAACACTTGAAAGAGCACAAGAGAGGGGAGATGAAAACACCATCAATGGATCTTGATTCTTGTGTCCTCATATCCTTATAAAACACAAACTTTTAGAGCTTATCATACACGACGATGAACTCATTTCAGAAAATCCTGCATAATTGCATAAAAAAATGTTGACAAGCACAACATAGAGCACTATGTACTTGAGTTATTGTATCAGGCCGGATTGATTGTTGGAGCACACTAAGAGCACCATTTTTTCCATGACCTGAACAGCAAACCTGAAAAGATCCAAAAAAGGGATTTTAGCGGGTTTGTGAAGATGCACACAAAGTTCGGTAGTTCTGCAGACAAAATCATATAGAAAAGGTCTAAATTGGATAAAAGGCAGCAACTTAAATAACCTAATGAAGACTTTCGTCATCCAGTAAATAGCAATCAACGTTAATCAAAGCTAGTGTTTGCAAGAAAAGGATGTAATTTTCCATTCAATTTCGAGTACGAAGTTCCCAATCAGCTGAAATTATAACTAACCAATTCATAGTTACTTTGCTTCGCAATTCCTGTAGCATTAGGATCAGCATTAATTCTCAAACCATATGAGAAATCCTTCAGGGGACCAACATTAAGCAACGAATCCCTTACTGCAAATGTGAAAGATTTCTGCATAAATAAAAATCAGCAAGCCATTTGTTAGAAATGGAAAAGCATGCCTGATAAGATTCCATGTTATTACCACTAAATGCTACCAGTTAACTATGATTAACATTTACTAGTTAAAACACAGAGAATTTAACCTGAGTTAACTGAGTTTTATTTGGTCCACTGCCATAGAAAGAAAGATCGTCGCCGGCAACCAAATCTTGAAATGCATCTGAGGGAGACCTCCGCAGCCTCTTGGTCAAAGGAGCATCGCTTTCAATATCCTCAAACTACGGATAAATAAGAAATTAAGCATACAAGTGTTCAGTTAATTGTTCTTGTAGCATAGTATGTTCTACAAGCTTTCAACTCCTAGCAAAATGTCAGATTAGTTGTAGACTTAAAACAAATCGTGATGCATTCAGGTTTTAAAATCAAGACTCCTTTTATGAAAGTCAACTGGAAATCAATCAAACTTCTGAGCTCCGCAAAATGTATAGAACAATAAAATTACAGACCTCTTCCTTCACACCAGGAGTCAGTGTGGAAGCTTCCTCTCCAGAATTGTATTGCACGAGCAGACTATCACCCAAACGACTCCCCAAGAAGAATAAGGAGTTTCCAATGGTTGTAATATCCTACAAAATAAGCGAGCAAAGACATTAATGCAAATATTATGTAGAATTTCTGTAAAGTAAAGTGCAATAGAATAAGAACTTATGTGGCTGACCGAACTAAGTACTGAAGCTCTTGACTTGGAAAGTTCAAGCCTCTGCACAATTCTGCCACAATGAAAAAGGAAAATTGCATGTTACATGCAAGTGATATCAAGAATCAAACTGAATAATGAATATTATGGTTGCATATATGATTAGCCACTTTAGAGTCGTGACACAGCTGGTGTTCTCTGTATGAATAAAGGATCAGATAATTAAATCACACAATACATATTTATTAATTATAAAAAAACAAAGAACAAGGATAGAAGTAGGTTGCTTCCCAGCGAGATAACTTGCGTAATAGCCTCTAGCTATTGAGATTATTTTTCTTGGTGCCTGATCTGAACTTCCTCACTCGCATTTATAATGTTATCACTATTAGGAGAAAGTAAGACCACGATTTGATAGCCTCCCATGCCCCAATAGGCCATGATCCGCAAAGTCCAGCTAATCCCATGATTCGTGCTTCCAATATCACATCACTGGTATAATTTTTTTCCAGATTTTCCTTGAGTACACAATCCACTATTTTTCAAATTTTTTTCTTACATCTCCATCATTACCACCAACCAGAGGTAGAGATATAACCTTTTCCACAAGGCTATAACTAGGAAACTGTTCATTGAAATATGAGAGATCCTACCACGTTGCTTCATCAGTTGTGTCCAGAGGACCAAAACTCGGGCCATGACTCGAACCCATGGTTAACTGGCTAACGACTAAGATGTCATATTATGGTAGGTAGCCAACCTCCTCAAGTTGAAGATCCCCGAGGACATGCTGATAGTCACCAGCTTAAGTTATGGAATATGAAAGATCAGGTGCACCCTTGAAGTAGAAGGAAGATGGGGCCTGTACGCCACCAAACTCCCCTTTTGCAAAATGGAGAAAGGGCCATAGAGGGGAGGAGCTAACTTTTGGTTCAATCATATGAGATGAGTATTTTTCTTAATTCTGGTGAGGTCGAAGAAGTTTGAGAATGACACTATCAACGACATTACCAATGTCACGCAATTTACGATTTGCAAATTTTGTTATGTGACAATGAACTTTCTCCAAATAAAAACAAAGCTGAAGGAGTAATTCATTGCAATCAGAGGGAGTAACCATCACTGCTGCCACTTAAACTTGCCAGGTAAACACTGTTGCAAGAATGGAGGTGTCCTTCCATACACAATTTCAAAGGGGGGACAATGAGCAGCTCCATGGAAAAAAGTGTTAACACTAGTATTCGGCCCAGTGGAGACACTTGCCCCACTTCTGGGGTTGTTCGGAAGCAAAGCAGCTAAGGTATTGCTCAAGTCAACGGTTTAGCACTTCCATTTCTTTGCAAGTTTAGGGGTAATAGCGCTGCTCATTTTAAGACGACTCCCCATCTTGGCAAAGTACTTAGTCCAGAAGTGGCTTAAGAACATTGGGTCTCAGTCACTGACAATTGGAATTGAGCACCCCATGAAGGCAGATGATTTCCTAGGCGAAAAGCTCAGCCAAAGATCTAGCAGTGGATGGATGCTGAAGGCAAGAAATGGGTGGATTTGGAAAACCGGTCAACCACCACCCAAATGCAGTCAGCTCCACAAGAATGTGGTAACCCCATGATAAAGTCCATTGAGATGTCTTCTCAAATCACCATTGAATGAGAGAGGTTGGACAAGCAAACTGGGGACAATATTCCAAATTTGTTTTTCTAGCAAACTGGATAGTTTGCCACAAAGTTTTGGGGTGGAATGGAACTCCTTAAGGAGTTGAGAGGTCTAACATGATTTAGATGGAAGCACAATAAGACCCTTACAGAATAGGCAGATAATTAGTTTGTATGGATGGCAGATGTCGTGATCTTGATTGTAATCGAACAATGAGTGATTGGAGGGTCGTGTCGGCCAAAATAGCAGAATTGATAGCACCACAATCAAACCACGTGGGTAGGGGTGTTATTTAAGCTCATGAAATCTTGGCTCGGCTCGTTTGACAAACTCAAAATGATTAAGCGTTGTTCACGTACACCATTTATTCGTTCACGAACATGCTCGGCTGTTCGTTTGAAACCTATAAGAAAATGAAAGGAAACAATCAAGCTGCTTGGGAACGAGATCGAATCGGCTCATTTTATAGCAAGCTCAATTAGTTATCCAAAATCGGCTCACCAGCCTGGTTACGGCTCAGTTGCTAGGTTCAAATAACAGCTCTACACATGGGTATAGATATCGTGATAAGTTGCTAAGTGTCGCGATGGGAGACAGGCATCTGTTAGACACTTAGTGGAGCCCGGCTTATAGACTACTCTGAAATCCTACTCATGTAACTTGGCATCCTAATTATGTAGAGACGAAGTGGGGATACATTGTTGCAATAGATAAAATAGAATCTAATGGTTAGTTAGGACTAAGCGATGAAATCTTACGAGATATGGCCTCCAATATTGAATGGCCATAACAAGAGCCATTAATTCCTTTTTTGCCGGCAAATTTTGATGTCTTCCTAGCAAGGGTCTTTCTAAAGAAGGTGGCAATGGAGGGACATTCTTGCAGCAAAACTGCTCTTACCCTATTTCCAAATGTATAACCTTCAATAATAAAGTCGTGAGCAGCATGCCAAGGACGGGCGAACTGGTAATCATGTCAATGGCACGCTGGAACAGTCCCTTTTTCAAGAGCGAACTTGGCAGTTGCCCCATACTTCTAAATAAAGCACTTCCCGACCCTTAGGTCGAACCAATAGTTAGAAGAATTAAATCACTGTAGAGACAGAATTATGATATTTTAAAAAAGAGAGAACAATGGCAGAAATAGGTAACTTCCCCATGGCCAAGCTACTAAGATCATTTTTTCTCAATGCCAAACCAGAACTTCCTGGCTCCCTAATATTTATATAAGGTAATAAGACAATAAAGAGAAGATAAGATTAACGATTTGATAGTCTTCCATGCCCAATGGGCTAGGATCCTAGGATTCGAGCTAATCCCATCATTCAGGCTTCCAATATCACATCACTGTTTTAATCCTTTCCAGCCGGTTTCCCTTCTCCTGAGTAAATAATCTGCTATTTCTTATGCATCTCTATAATTGTTATTGTCAGACTGAACTTTGCTATGGAAATATGTTGTGCTTATGAGTGTGTAGGAAAGTCACAAGAACAATGAAACTACATTCTATAATATGATCTTCCTTAAAAACAAGTAACCAAATAGAAACTTCACCTTGTTTTTTTGAATGGAGGATTAAGTAAGAAGATAACAGTATGTTTGTGAAGGATTAAGAAAGAAGATAATAGTATGACAAACAGACAGTTACGAACCTCCCATCATAAACTAAAGTCAGTAAAAGGAGCTCCCCCGATTTTGTTGAAAACAGGGCAACATCATTTGTTAACCATGTTGCATTAGCGGCATCAAGCTCCGTAGTGAAACCACATCTAGGCATCTCCTGACTGGATGGGCAATGAAAATTAGATAACTTAATTACCCAACAACATAGGCTAGCATGGTACATCACTAAATTTAGGAAGCCCATTTAGTGATTAGATGATAAAGAAATTAGAATGTTCTGGAGGCAGAGGAGAAACAGGGGCAAAGGCTTAGATCACCTGCCATCAACAGGAACAGCATAATTGTTCAAGGCCAAGATGCATGATGCTGTCTGTCCAATCAAATTCCCCAAGGAGTGGACAGGAGAGTAAACGTTAAAGAGGAAAAATAAATAATGAAAAGAAAAAGGAAACATTAGCAGGATAAACATCTAATTCAAGAGATAGTAGAAAATGCGATCCCAAAAGGGGGCATACCTGACTATGATAATGTATTGTATTTGCACCAATTACAAGAACTCCACCAACAGGGGATGGAACAGCAAGGAGCTTATATGCATCATGAGGAAGGTTCTGAACACAACGAGTATGACAAATTTCAGACAAACAAGCGAAGGGTAAAAGTGTTGAGATTACGATTAGCCCTTAGTAGGGTCCCACAAGGTGAGATTCTATCGTACCCTTGCAGACCAAATGAGTGTATGCTGCTTTAGAGTTGTACTGATGCTGAGCGCAGAAATCATGCAAGTATGACGTTTCCAAGAAACACGCCCGGCCCATGTAAGCTCCTGTTCATGTAGGATTACCACAACAGGCTCGATGTAACCTGCAAAAAATTTAGCTATTAACCATCCAAAATGTGACTGATCTGGCTTAAAATTGAATGGAGCTAATTAAAAGCATATAAACAAGGCCACCATATTTTTAGGTGTTCCAGGAGAAATAGCTACTATATAAGTAGGGAACAAAAGCAAAGGCACAAAAGTTTAACATAAAAATTTATCTCACACAATTTGGAGTCCTCTAGATTTATGCAAGATCACAGAGGTAGCCAATATTGACAGTCAAGCATTATTTCATTAATAGAAGAAAAGGGTCTGCTATAAAATGGCACAAACTTTAGCTCAAGTTTGCTTTGTGTAAAATCACTTCTCGCAAGAGTTTCACAGGCTGGCTGAAGGAGCAAATTTTTCCACTCATTCGAATAACATAAACAAGAATATCTATCTGTCCTTGCCTTCTTTAGACCATCATGTTGCATGAGAATCAAGGTTCACATGGAGGAAGAGCAAAAAATAACAGGTAGAAAACTATCCACACACACACACACACACTCAAGATACAATATCTTAAAATATATAACTCATATTGACAATTTACAAAATATGGCTTCATTGCAATCTTTGAAACATAGTTTCTCAGGAAAAAGATAGGAATAAGATTAGTCAAGTCAGACGTACCGTGTATGAAGATAAAATCTTTAACATGCTTCATATCAAGCTCTCGTAAGCCAAAAACATATGAAGATTCAATTTTAGAAGCACCTGTAGGCCCAGAACTATAAGAGCTGTCCTCGCCGACCAAACCAGAGCTAGCCTAAAATCAGAAAGATTGTTGCAGCACAGGCAAAGAATTAGTCTTGAGAAGGAACTCAAATACAGCAACACCCATTCTAGAGTCCCCTCCAAATAAATTACTTAATAGTTAATACAAATGAGAAATAGAATTGGTGACAGGATGCTACAAAAACAATGTTCTACTGTTTTATCTGCCATGTGATAGGGTTTGTAATTTACTACTAAAAATTAGGTTCAATCAATATATCCGATAGATTTCAGCTCTTTCTCTCCATTTTAAGTATAAAACTGTTTCAAAAGCATTAATAATTTCCACCTATACCTAGCACTGTATGTACGCTGTGGAGCAATACAAAAATGTTGGCTCCAGCAAAATATGTTAGTATGAAAGAAAATTTTGCATCAACATAATTATGACATGGTTGATGAATATAGTAATCTTTATATTTATTCTCGTATGTTTTCAGTAGGGCACGAGTAAATAAATTTGCTATCACAAGTATTTAAACGGGAACACAAATATGAACATCAAATAGCACGCTGATTAGCTGATGACATGAGCCTTTATTACATCATCAACCAAATTGCTCCGATTTGTTAGTTTCTTCAGCATTGGCCAAAAGAAGCATAAGAAAATAAGCACCATGCAACTTGCAAGTATTAGCAAAGGGTTGTATTGTCCTGACCTTACACCTTATATACAAGCACTATATGTCAAATGTTGTTTTAGTGTTAGAAAACAACAAAAGAGGATGATGATCTGATAATGCATTATTTTTATTCCAAATAAGTACTCCAAAAAACTCTCAGAGCAGTATGCTCATTGCTCAAGAAAGACGGAAAAGATGATGTACAATCATGACAGTGTACTTATTTTCATAGAGCTATTATGGCTAGTATTTTACAGACCCGAATAGCATATTAATATTTGAGCAATAAAATTTAATTTACACATCTTCAATAAGAGTGTTATTAATGGCAGATGGCGGTAAATGGCAGCAAGTCAAAAACCAGCAAGACCGATCGCAATGGCGGCCTATGGCACCGCCATAACTGCCATCCTTCAAAATTTACTAAGGTGGTTTGGCAAAAATCCGCCACACCATACCGCCATGGCTTCCATTTGATAACACGGCTCAATAAATAACACAAGGACCATATTCCAAAAGATGCAACACAGTTAAAATACATAGGGAACAAAAACCTCGGCAGCCTTGAGCACTGTCATTTGTAATCCATAAACAAGGACTGCAGCACACCTCCCCAGTGGTTCAACTTTCACTAGTGGACCTCTTGGAAAACTTTCTCTACCTCTTTTCAAGTGTAGCCAATTTGGGCCCTCAAAACAATGCATCGAACTGGAAGAGAAAAAAATATATGAACAACATTGAATTAGCAATGTTTAGTAAAGTCAATGACATGAATAATATCAAGATTGGAGCAAAAACTAAACCTAAAAGCAAGTAATAATAAGAACTTGATGGTAAATCCGACTCTAATTATTCAGCAGCTCACAGCTTGCTTTATGTTACAGTATCCTCTGTATACAGACGAATACAAATCCTTAAAGAAAATAACAAATTCAGACAGAAAATAACAAATTCCTCTTGAACTGCTCTGCAACCTATTAATTCAACAAAAGTTGGTTCTATTTTCCTCCACATGTTGGAACATGGTTTATGCAATATGATTGCGGCTTACCTGGTGCGGAGTCCGTGTATTGAATCGTCAAACTCCAAAACTGAAATTTTTGCATCTCGAAAAGTCAAAATAATTGAATCTCTCCTTCTACCATCACCAACACCATTAGGTAATACACCTAGCGACTCCACATTGCCATGCAACCTACAGAGCATTACTATTATCAACAAAATTCAAAACACATGCAACTGCTTTTCTAATAAAATAAGTACATCATATACTGATAAAGAATTATATATACGAGTGCATACCAAAGTTTTAGAAATTAATCATTCGGTCCAAAGAAACAATAAATTGAAGAAATCCCATGATGCGAACTATGTTTCATCAACGATAGAATACAAAGTACAATGAAAACATGAGCAAACTACATCAATTACAAAAGTAATCCTCATGAAACCATCTCAATCAACAATTTAATATCAAAGTTATGGAAAGTTCACGCACAAAAGAATTTTGATAGATCATACGAATTGTAAGTACATATTTATTTAAGCTTGTAGATCATAAATAATCAGGGCCACCTTATGAGCAAATATGAAATGATTTTGTTCACCCATTATTATATTTACATAAGTGGAGCGGGGATGATGTGTCCCACCATGAATCATAGTTTTTAATCGGCCAATAGCGGTCCAAAGCTATTTACCCATGGATAGCCACGAGGCCAGGGGCGAGTCCATGGAGAGTCCTCAAAAACATAAGAGGCCAAAGTGTGAAAAACACTAATGACTAATATAGATGGTTCAATTACATATTTATGTTCAAACGGCAAAATCAACCTTAATATCCCCAGGAAGGAAAGAACACAAGCCACAGCCAACATTAGCCCCCGAAAGATAAAATTGGAATCCCAAAAATACCATTAGAAACACAACATAAATAAACTGAAAAAAAAAAAAACAACAGAAAAAAGAGCGATAAAATTAAAATAAAAGATAGAAACTATTACAAGAAAAAGAAAATGAAAGCAGAAACTAATGATGCAAAAGATAAATAGAAAAAGAAGATAACAGGTTGGAACCAGAAAACAAAGGAGAAAGATTTCCTCGGGGTCAACAGAAGTCTGCTAGGGTACTGACGACGGCAAAAATCTCCGCCAGTGGTCCCTCCAATTTTCAGATCTAAATTGCTTAATTGGGTATTTTCTATAATAGTAAAACCCTAATTGGGGTGCCAAATTTCAGATTGAAGGAGAGAAGTCTTAGGCCCCGGATTTCAGAACTGTCATACCTGTCCTTGGTGGTTTTTAAAACTGGACAGGGCCCTGGGGGTAAGGCACACAACACATCTGTGTCGCCTGGGGCTAAAGAAAGGCGTTGCACGCAATCAAAGACCCTAAATTCCGGACCGCCTCAGGCAGCAGCGATGCAATTTCCAAAAATATAGCAAATTAGGTCATACAATTCGAGATCAATTGCCAAAAGATCGCTAAACTCTGTGTTTGGATATAACAACCTAAGCTTGCACATTTTTAGGTGTTCTTAAAGGAAAAACACAGACTTGAGCCTCCTCGATAGTAAAGAGACAGTGTAACATATCATACTACAATTGGATTGATTAAAGCTAACTTCAGCACAGTTGATTAACAACCAAACCAAATTCACACGCAAGAAGCCTTACACGAATTCAAACTTGATAATGATTTTCTATACAATTACCTGTTAGATTAAAAAATGAGAAAAGGATACCTGTAATGGCAAACAAGCTCAAGGGACGCACCGGAAATGCCAGCCAACACACCCCCACGCTTTGGCTCAACGGCAGCTTTTGAATCCGTGGAAGGAGAGGATTCCTCCTGAATTCTCAGACAGTAGACTTCAAGAATGTTGGCGGCGGCCGTGACAAGGTTTGGGAATGGGCCAACTGGCTTCGTGGAGGCGGGCCAGTCCGAGTCCAGGTCATCGGCACTGACAGGAGGTATTTTCGGCGTGAATTCCGCCGCAGAATGGGTGATAAAGCCCGAGGCGCAGTGCTCGATGCCGGTGGCGCAGTGCATCATCTTGTACGCCGCGTAGCTCATTCTACTCCACTTGGATTTTCAGTTGGATTATGAAGTGGTGATGAGGATGAAGACCGACTTTGGAATAGGGTTTTAGCAGCTCTGCTCCACCTCCAATTCCCTGCTGCCGTAGGCGGGACGTGATGATTTAGAGGTGTATTCAATTATGATTTAGGAGTATTTTTTTTACTCAGAATTTTTATAAACTAGTACGGGACAGAAATATTAAAATGAGTTTTTAAATGAGTTATTTTTACACTTTTGTCTGTTTAAATTTAAAAAATAATAAGGTTATTATCTATTTTCTACTTCTTTTAATCAACGTTAAGTCTAAAAAAAATAAGTTATTATAAGTTTTTTTCACATCTTTAAGTTTTTTTCCACATATTTTAACCAGTGTTGTTTTTTTGTAGCCAGAACATTAAATATGAGCATAAAATAATTAATATATTATCTCACCAACACATTTATACTAATAAAAATTTAATTTTAACATATAAATTTATCCCTTTGATATAAGAGAAAGTAACAATTTTACTTATTGTTGTTCACTATATAATATTTAATTATTATTTTATTACATAATAAAAATGAATATTGTTAAATAGTGTACTAGAATTGTTATAAAATTATATGAATTATTTTTTTTTTCAATGTGGATTTAATATCTTTTTATGATTTGATAATATAACTATAATATATTCTTAATGATATAATAATATGAGATACGAATTTACATAATACTATGGATTTATTCCTTAATGTTAAGAGATTGAATTAGGTAATATATGATTCACTAATTTGTAATTTGTCTCTTTTTATATTGAAAATAAATCATGTGATTGAGTAGAGATAATAATTATCTATAAATTCCTTCATTGTATAGGCCTTGTGGCAGTTTCGGGAGCCGTCCCTGGACTTGGATTATCCTCTGATATTGGCTGGTCTGTGGGTCGAGAGGCGGGGCGGGGCTCTGACCCCCCCCCCCCCCCCCCAATATCGTCTAGTGGTGTTAGACGAAGGGATTCTGGCACTCCGACGCTCGGCTAGTGGTGTTAGGCGTGCTCGGGTAGTGCTAGAGTGGGTGCGTGTTCGGTTGTCCTTCCGATTGAGGTGTGTCGCTTTGGAGTTTGGTTTGTGTTCGGGCTCGACTTCTTGTATAGGCCTTGTGGCAGTTTCGGGAGCCGTCCCTGGACTTGGATTATCCTCTGATATTGACCATTCTCTATTGGTTCGACCTGGCTGACTTGCTGTGGAAGGGCCTTATTTATTTAGTTGTGTTTTTTCTTCTTTGTTTTTTAGTAGATTGGGTTGTTGTTCTTGTTTAGTGTTCGTATTTGTGTTTGTGTTTGTCGTTGTGTTTTAGGTTTGGGCCGTTGGCCTCTGTGCGCCCGAGTGTCACTTTATTACTCTGTGGGAGTCCGACACTCGGGTATTACCCTTTGGGGGTCTTTGTGTTGTTGTTTTTTTGTGTGTTTTGTGTTTTTTAGTGGTCCTGAATATTACCCTGTTGGGGTCGGTTCTAGGCGGTCTTTTGATCTGTCCTCCCACTTTTCAGCTATTAGCTGCTTGTATTCAGCTGGTGGCTGCTCTTTGCACATTTATGCCTTTTATATAATATCTCTATCGTTCCGTTAAAAAAAAAAAAATCCTTCATTTAAGGAATAATTTTTAAATTGTTCTAAGTGTTGAATGCAGCCCGATTTTCTTGTAACTAAAATGAGAAGAGATTTTGAATTTCAAATTTTCACTTCAAAACCACACGTAAATTTGGATGCAGATTTTATTAAAAATAAAATGAGAAGAAATTTTGAATTTCATATTCACTTCAATATCTGTCGAAATTTTCAAAAATGAATTCAACAAAAACCATAATTTTAGGGGCATTTAATGTTACCCTATTTTATGATTTAAAATATCTAAAACTTTTTAAATATGGTGTGCAATTAATTATGAGTTGACTTGCTTTCTACTAATTCTAGTAAATGGGATGGCTTTTTATATAAGTATAGATAACACAAATATTTACATTCAAAAATAGCCAAGAAATTGACAGACCAGTTATAAAGTCGAATTTAGTATGAGGCCAGACTCGAGAGTCGCCTAGAACCGACACTAGACTAAATCAAAACAAGACTCAAAAGCTCCCAACAAGAGAATAGATTTGCTCCCACGGGAGAATCCCAACTAACACCAAAACACAAACAAATACAAAATAAAACAAAAACACAAACTACTACCTTCAACTAAAAAGAACACTCCACCTACACGCCCAAACGGCACCTAGACAGCTAATAGAAGAGACCCAGGTCACATCCTAAACACACGGGCCGAGTAACTTCCACTCGAGCTTACTCGACTCGGACCAACGAACCAAATCTCTCCTGAAGTACCGCAGCACCAGGAGACCCAAAGCCATCGATGCTGAAAGGAACGAAGAACGGGAAAATGAAGCCCTATCCTCAAGCAAACAGATGAGCACCTCCGACCCGCCACAGGAGACCCGAGCCAACGACCTCTCACATTGCCTCTGATGGTTGTCGCAACCACAACGATCAACACCACCAAGGGCTCACGGCAGAGAGTCTGAGACACCAACCTCAATCTGCCGGCTGACAACAACCAGCAGCTCAAAACTAAACTTACACCTTCCCCTACCGGCATTGTCAGTGGTCGCCACCAAGAGACCACCACCACCGAAAGGATCTGATGTCCCAACGCCATAGACGGTCGAAATCGGGGAGCCCGAGGCACCGGACATCATCCGACATCCTACACAACCACTAGCTTAGGCTTCGCGTACCATCGGCAAGCCACCGGCTGCCCATCTACCACAGCTATGGCATCCGAACTGGACGAATCCACTTGGTAGAGGCGCCCGAGCGCTCGCCGAGACACAGCTAACTGAAGCGACCAGATGCCGGCCAACACGCAGAGTGCGATGCACCCGTCGAAGAAGAGGAAACAAATCGGCGATAAGGAGTTTTGTAAATTGAAACAAAGAGAGAGAGAAAACTTTTTAGAGTATTCCTTGAATCGTATTCAATTAGGATGGTTAGAGACTTTTTAAAACTTTTGAAAATTGATATATTCAATCAAAACATTTTAGACTATCAAAAAGTTTACATGTATTCAATTAAAACTTTCTAAGAGTCTCTAAAAGTTGTTTGTTATTAAAATTAGGAAGATTTTATGAGACTTTTAAAAGTAAAGGATTCTTGAATTTTTTTTTACCAAAAGTATAGAGAAAAAGTACTCGTGAAAATCTCACCAAATTTGTGAGATTTCACGTGAAGACTCTTATATCTTTTCTACCAGGTATACTCTTTTCTCTCTAGGTAAAAAATCAATTTTAATACATCTTATTGATTGATTGATTATGTAAGTTGTTGATCGATTCAAATTTTGGTAGGTGATATTTTTGTACTGCTAACTGGATTATATCACTGTTGTAATATCCCATTCAGTAATTAATAAAAATAATTATTCTAAGTATGAACTAATTACTTTTATTAATAATGCTCGTTCCTAGTTCCGAGCCAGTTATTAAGTTATTCAGTTAAAAATTTGACTTTAAGTCGAAAGTATTCTCCATTCAATATTATTCAGTAATCGAGTCAGTTCAGTAATTAATTAATTCCGGTCTGTTTATTTTTATAAATGGATTTATAAGAAGGGATCAATTAATATAAGATAACGAATAATCGAAATTGAGTATATTTTGATTAATCGTTTAAGATAAGTAGTGAACTGAACTCAAGTATGTTCGGTCATGAGTTGAACTTAATTAAGAAATAGTTGAGCCTTAGTACTAAATACTTAGAATTTTTCTAAGTGTTCAAGTCATCAAGATAAGATCGTAATATTGAGCTTTAGCATAAGTTGATACAAGTTAAGTTTCGAAGTGCGGTTAAGTATCCATGAACATTTAAGTGATAAATGTTCAAAGAATTGAGAAAATTTATTTAGACAGTATAGTCTATTTAAATTATTTTAAGAGAAACCGAAATTTTTAGAATTTTCGGTTTTACGGTAATCGTTCGGTTTAAGTTCGTATGTGGTTCCGTAAATGTAGAATACTATAAGATAATTATATTAGATCCTAAGAAGCAATATGTTTATTAAATTGAAGAAAAACTGTGAGTAAAGAATTTAAATTTTAGAATTTTCAGTTTTACGGTAAACGTTCGTTTTAAGTCCGAATTGAGTTTCGTAAATTGTATTATTCTCGGTTTATTAGCATGATCCAAGACCATATATGATCATTACTTTTCAGTAAAAGAGTTTTAAAAATCAGCCATTTTGAAAGAAAATGCATAAGTAATAAAAAAGGATGATTTTTATTATTTTGTTCCAAAGATTTTTATATGATGAATGGTGATATTTTTTCAATAATATATGGAATCAATTACATCACATTAAGCACGAAATTTTGGTCATCAATTGGTGAGAATGAGATGAGAAAATCACAACAAAGTTTTGCTAAGTCTTTAAGTTAGCATTTTTTTTCAACAATTTGTGAGAATTTTATTAAACTTGGTGGAATAAGTTTTATCTACCAAAAAGCTCATTCATGGCTATAACTAGAGGTCATTTTTTATGATTAATTATGTTTGGATAAGAATACAAGTTAATCATAAAATAGTTTATGATTAATTAAGTTTATAAGTTTAAATTGTTTATTTTGTTCATTTCTTCACTCCATTATGATGTTTTGCCAATTTGTGCCTATAAATAGAGGCCTAAAAATCAGATTTCTCACACCAAAGAAAAGTACCAAAAGTTATATAAGAGTGTAAGAGATAATAAGTAGTAGAAAAATTGGAGAAGTGAAGAATTTGAAGTAAAGAATCAAGTTTTTACTCTAGCAAGAAGGAGGTAATTTATTTATCTTAAAGTTACATGCTTATGTTCATGTTTTGATAATGAGTTTACATGTTTAGTAGATGATATTAAGTGTTTAATAATATTTTTAATATGACTTAGATATTAAAGTTTTATATGAATATAAGTATGCTAGAAAATAAGTTATTTCCAGCTCATATATATGTCATATGTGTTCAGTTATGATGAGATTTTTACCTAGCTATGAAAAATCTGGAAATCTATGCTTCCTATGGTTATTTCTTGTGTAAAAGAGGAGTACATAGGATCAAG